ATATCAGTTTGGTACGATATAGAGTGTTTCGAGCTTTCGGTGTTTTCGGTTTCGAGCTAGAGTGTTCACATATTCACAGACACACAGACCATTTTTCGGGACTTGGTTATTTGGACTCAGGGGACATCAAAACGTGTATTTCAGTTGAAAACTGAGATTCAAAATTTTTCACTATCGCAATACTTTCCTTTAGTACATATTTCATATATAGGTAAGTGAAAGTAATAATTTAGAGTTGGCCTGGTCTTGTCCTCTGTAATGAAGTATATGACACAATACGTGACAGCACTCCGTTCTGAAACAACTGGAGCTTAGTTGCCGTTAATGCTTAAATATTTGATAGCATCGGCGTTCAATGAAGGTCTTAAGAAGCTTTCATAAATTAATAATTTGAAGCGGAAGAATTAATTTGGTAATGTCAGCAGATGATTTAGTCTATAAGACTTGGTCTTCACGAATTCGATCTTCTTCTGGCAGTGGTGAAATAGTGTAGATGAGTTTCCAGAGTGAGATCCAAGTACAATAAACTCTCTGCCGGCTTATTTGTTTTGGCTGCTGCCCTATCGTCCTCATGAAGTAGACTGTTATTCTGATATAGTATTATTATTAAAAATATAACAATAACAACAACATTGGGATTAATAGAGCAGGCGAGAAATATCAATAAACGTGGACTAACTTTTTTTCATTACTCAATCTAATAGTTCCTTGTATCTTTTATAGATTATTATATTTTATTGTTTACTATAATCAATACTAATTTTTGCGAGGTTGAGGTGTATGAAAACATGGTTTGGGTGGAGCTGAAACTCTTCCATGAACAATCGAAATGGAGAAATAATAAGTCATTTCGCGTTCCAGGAGGGGAACAAGAGGGCAGAACAATTTCATTCGTTAGAGATATGAAGCTGTCAGAGAGAGCGCGGTGGCCGATGACTGACACCGAAAGAGGTGGAGACAAAGACGACCAACCACTACCTGTCAGTGGGCTAATTACACCACCTCCTCTCACCTGCCCTTTTTGAGTAGCTCTCCACTGGATCAACATCATGAGGGCTCTAATTCCGAAATCGAATTAGCCCCTGGAGTGACCGTCCCTCCACTCACTTCTATGATGGCACTTCATTTATACCAACCATTCCGTATTCATTTGTTGGCTGTTGCTCTCGATAATCCTCCAATATCGGCATCGAAACAAAAAATCATTTTAGAGAGCTTAAATGGTACTTGCGGATAAATATGGAAAATAAGCGAGTAAGTAAACCCATTGTAAATTCATCCATAATTTTTCTGATACCAATGTTTTCGCATACAGCTGTCTATTTCAATTTACAATAGAAATTAAGAAATCTTATTGTAACAAATATCTGTGCATCTCATTACAATAGAGACAAACTATTCAAACAACTAAAAGAAATGAAATTTACAAGACTGAGGTGATCTGACAAGTACATGGTGGTACGGAAGAAAAATATTAACTGTTACAATACTTACTGTTATCTAATGAATAAAGCATTAGTCGCAATGATATATTGGAAATCAAAGAAAAGATGTAGACTAAATATAAAAAAAATAGTAAAACAAATTCACAAAAAGCTTATACAAAAAATTCACAAAAAATTATACAATTTAAAAAATAAATCTCAGTATGTTTATTAGACCACACGATAGAGGTGAAAACATCAACAAAGCGAGATTAATGATATGGATTAGATTTTTTTTTTATATGCAATCACAAAATAATAACATTTACAGTTTATATAAATACAGTTGTGTATAAACTAATTTTTGTTTTATATTCACAAAATATTAACATTTGCAATCCTTTTTCTGCTGGCATTACAGACTTTGTAGATCTTTTGCTGCCTTAGCAAGCCAGAAGCACATAAGTTCTTATTTGTTATTATAATGCCTACAAAAATTTTTATATCGACTTCCGCAAATCAGTTTCCGAATTCTTCTTGGTATTAAAATTCTGAAATAATTTTTTTTTTTTTATATATTTTTATTGAGAAATAATACATTTTGCCACATTTAAGGGCACTGAGTACTAAAGCTGAGTGAGGCCCATTCATACTACACATACAATACAATAAAAATATATATATAAATAAAAAATAAAAATATATATCTATATAACAAAGTTAAAAACTATAAAACAAGAAATGTAACTTAAAATCAAATAAAAAAAAAAATACAGAAATTGGTAGCAAATTAAACAAGTCATAAGTAAAACAAATAAATATATAAAAAAGAAAAACATTCATACTTAATTACAATATTTACAATCAGCCAAGGGAGCTCCGAGTCCAGCCCTTTCCTCCACGTGTGAAGGACAGAGCGAGACTCTAAGAGATCCCAGCGCTTCTTTCTCAGCTGCGTCACCGGCAGGAGTCCAGTGGAAACTGAGAGAGGGTACTAACTGAGATAATTTAGTTCAAATGTTCTTACTTGATTTTTTGGTGCTATCATTTTCTCTTTTCGCATCTCTAACAAGCCGTAGCGTTAAGATATAATTTTGAATGAATGGGATACAAAAAAAATAGCCCGTTACAAAGGAGATGAAATGCTGAATATTTCCTTCGCTTACAGTATGCAGGTCCGATTTTTAGTTTCTGAGATATTTTAATTAACATTTTCAATAAAACTCGTTATCATTTGGTTTTCAACATGATTGTTTTCCTTATTGCCTTTCTAACACAGCTTTGGTTCAAAATACAATTACGAATAATAGCTCATTAGAAACAGGATGAAATGTTAAACGTTCTCTTGAATACAATTCTGGGATATTTTAATCGATATGAAAAAAACACTTCACTTAGTCGACTCGAGCCGACATTACCCAAATGAACGTTACACATTCCAGCCTGACGGCTGAGCTTCTTTCACAAAAAAGATTAAAAAGCGCCTAAAGAACATTAATTTTTACGTCAAAAATAATCGTGTTTTAGTTGGATTATTCTAAAGTCATCGAGTGTTTATACTGGAACCGATAAGAGCTTCAAAAAACCTTAGGTTATGTTTATGTTGGGCCTTTTTTTAGTCGATAAAAAAAAAGTCATGGTGATACGGGCTAGTTTTGCTTGAATGACAACTCAAACAGAAACATTTCCACTGAATTTCTATGATAACTATCAGATCCTACACTCCTATCGGATTTATTTCTAAAATAAACACTCAATCCAAAGGGAGATCCTAATTAAAAGTAAGGAGTGAAATCTTCTTGAGAATGGTTAAATAATCTCGAATTAGCTGATTATCAATTTATTTAATAAAAAAGTTCTAAGGACCAGAGATGCCCAGAAGAGGGTTTCATGGCGTTCATCAACATTTTTCAGAGGGCACACTTTTACGTGCTTATGAATTTTCGAAATAAAAAGTTTAAAAATAGAGGAAAAGAGGAAAGCATAGAACAGACCACTGAAAGTGTAATAGCATAAGACCAATGACTTTTAAAAGTCTACTTTAGCTTGCACTGTTTTTAAGAAGAGGAGAGAAATAAAATATCTTGAGAGGAGGGGGAGGTGGAGGATTGAGGCATCAACTTTGTAGGGGATGGGCACTACTGGTAAGAATGTATTGATAGTTGCAAACAATGAAATACAAACAAGAAGGTTAAAATTAATAGATTAAAATGCAAAAATATAGGGAAAATGAAAATTAGAGGAAATGAAAACCAAATCTTTTTTTATCTTGAACCCTTCATACCTAACAAGGTGCAAAGTGAAAAAATGAACAGATAACTGATGGATATTCTTATATAACTTCCATAGAGTTCAATGTATTTTTTTCCAATTCTGTAAGAGTAAGGTGGTTGCATTCCTAATGATGAACAGCTGACTAAACGAAACGTGACTCATTCAAATCATTTTATATATTTTACATCTTCCAAGCGTACATAATGATTAACATAAATATTTTTGAAAATACTTGATTCTGAACAACAGGTACTTGATATCATATTCATAATGTACGGTCGTTATTAGACCGCAATAAATAAGTACTACCTTTGAATGGTAGTAAAATAACCTTTTTAAAGAAACTTTTTTTTTATATAACCCAAAAGAAACCATCTTATCAAGTTGGTCTATTGAATTAATTGAATTGAGAAAGAAAGTTGCTAGAGTGTAGCGGACATAGTTCGGGGAATAGTTGATGTAAAGTAGGTTTTTCATAATGAAACCAATAATGATTTGATGGTAATTTTCAGGCATAACCATGCCGTTACACTTTTCGCATTTGCTATTATTATTTCTAAAACCAATACTCCAAAAAAGTTAAGTAAACAAAAAATTAACATGTGTGCGTCCGATTTTTAGTATCTGAAATATTTTAATAATACCTCGTTATCATTTGGTTTTCGACACTATTTTTTCCTTTTTACCTCCCATAACGCGGCGTCTCGTTGAGATGCCATTTCGAATAATAGCCTATTACAGAGAGGATCACATACTGAACAATTTCCTAGCTTACAGTATGCAGGTCCGATTTATAGTTACAGAGATATTTTAATCCATATGTAAAAATATTTTTATTAGTCGACTCTAGCCGACTTTACCCGAGCATTAATACCGAACAAAATGTGATGGATCAATCTAATTCACTCTCCTCAAAAAACAGCAAAGCAGCAAAAATTGAGGGATTTGATTTATTTCTTCTACCTGTATATTTTGAAAAAAAAACAAAAACATAATTCTCAATCAAATTCACGATCCAGCCCGGAGGACCACAATATTTAGGTAAAAAGAATGTAATTCATATAGAATAGAATAGTTTCGACTATTCAAAATTTCTAAATATTTGTCATTACATTACTCGACTAATTATTTTATTCAAGTCAGCAGTGAATGATAAATAGAGTTAAAAAAGTTCATCATCCTTCCTAACCTTATGGTTATTTAGAAGATGTTTTAGGATATCTTTGATTTATAAAACTAAATATTAAAGAAATTGAAATAAGATATTTTCGAATAGCCTTAGTAACAGATGAAGATTCTTACCTGCCGCCCTGAAGCTATCAATTGGTAAAGCCTGATAGGGAAGAGGATAAGAGTATCCTTCTTTCTTAACAGGTTTTGGCTTCCGCCGCGGCCTGTACTTGTAATCAGGGTGCTCCTTCATGTGCATGGCCCTCAATCTCTTGGCTTCATCGATGAATGGCCTCTTGTCGTTCTCTGAGAGGAGCTTCCATTCAGCTCCTATTGAAAAAGATAAATTACTATTATACCTGGATACATAAATATAAGAGATAATTGGAAAAAATATTAAATAGATATATAACACAGAAAGTGAGTTTTCGTAAATGTATTTTGATTTTTTTTTCCTTTATGGTATGCGGGTAAGATATTCTCATCCTACATCATACAAACATTGGTATTTATATACGGTAACATCAGTTTATTTACTGTCACTGGAAATGGGAACTGGAAACAACTGGAAACAAACTATGAGAGTGCTTACCTAATTTTTCTTTCGTTTCTTTTTATTTTCGCTAAAAATATCATGGTTAATTCAAATGTATCTACAACAACAATAAGACCAAGGAGAAAATACTTGGAAAAGAAAATGTATTGAATTATATAACGATATAGTATAGTATATATATATATATATATATATATAATGATATTATAGAAGACCGGCAATTCATCGATTATATTTTTTGTCTTAAACAGTCGTGGATAAAAAAGGATTAACTAAAAAAAATAAATGCAATTTTTACAATTACCACTTTTTACCTGTTACGGTATTTGTTAAAAAAATATTTAACACTGGTAGTCATGAACAAAGAGTACATGAAATTATTATACTTGCTGCTTGACTTGTTTCATAGATCTGCACATAAATCTGTTTGAATAGACAATCTAACTTATAATGATGTGAAATATCATAATATATTAGTAACATATGAAATTCGTTCATCCCTCGATACCCAAATCAGAACAAGTTAATTGTGTCACTCGTAGTTTGTTGTGAAACTTCGTGAAGTGGAAACCCACAGGCTGATGATTCGATCCCTAGGAAGTACCCTGGTGGAATGAGATTGGAACGGTTGAGATGTTTATTTGAATACACGGCGAAGTTGGAGAGGGTGGTGACAAGAGGAAGAAGACGCAGATAGGAGGGTATTATGGGCGACAATGTCATTAAGGGCCAACATTGGTGCAAGAATGAGCGGAGCCAGGTGGCAACAAAGACCCAAAGGCGCTCTCTAAATTAAACTCTGCTAATGAGTGCTCCTTGCGAGGCACAATATCTCGGCTGTAATTACCTCCGCCGTCACTGCCTCGCACAATGCTTCTCTCCTCCTCTCTACTTCTTAACTTATTATTTATTTAAACTGCCTGGCTTGTTATTGTTAAAACGTTTTCTGGAGAAATTCCAGCTTTTATGGTTTTTATTAAGAAGTTAAACAGCAGAAGATAAAATATGTCGGGCTCAGCTCTAAAGTGAATAAGCCACGATAGAAAACGCAAACCACGATTTATTTTTTATTGACGATTAGATAAAACTTACATACGTATTTTTGAATAATCATTCATGAAATCTTAATAAAAATACTAATGATTTATTCAGGGGCACATTCCTGTAGACTATTAGTATAAACCTATTCCATTGTCATGATTACTAACAGGGACTTAACAGGATATAGTAATTTCCTAAGGTTTCCTATACCCCTATACTATACTTATTGTGACCAGCACTAGTGATTTCTGCCATGGTGCGCGCCCCCTACCCTGGATGGTGGAAAAATAATTCCGAAAAAAAGTTTCAAAACACAAGTATTGGGTTAACAACTAAGTCGTTTCGGTTTTTATGTCACTATGGAGCACTTTTTATCTGATGAATTAATTCCTAAGGTGGATTGTTTATCCTGTTTGTAATATATTGTTGAAACTAGCTTAGTATTGTGTTTGCTATTGCACTGTAATTATTGAAGAAAATAACATTGTATTGTCTTAAAAAAGGGAAGTGTGCTGCAGAGGCTCATAGAAAAATTTGCAGTGTTTATGGGGATGGTGCCTTAACCGAGCGCACCTCAATTGGTTTGTCAAATTTCATTCAGGACGCTCAATGGTTTGGTCATTCACAAGCAATGTTAAGGCTATATTTGATCAAAACGCACCCAATCAATGCGAGAGATTGCTAAGGCCTAAATGTGTCACACACAAGCGTAGAAAACGATTTGCAAAAGCTACGATGTGTTTCCAGGCTTAATACTTGGGAGCCTCACATGATTTTTTTTTCGAAAATCACAAAACATGTTTTAACTTCAATACGGCTTTAGTTATCTATAAGAAATTTAGCAGGATTTTAGGGGCACATAAACTACACAAAATTACAACAGGACCTTCGTAAACAAACTACAAATGGAGATAAAAAAAACCTATAAGTTTTAGTTTATTTATTCCTTATGTAGGCATTAAATCAAAAAAATATAGTAATATTTTATATATATCGGATATAGTAATATCGAATTTGGAGAACATCCTGAAGAGCTATGAATTATCGGGAGAATGTTGTGTTCCACCATGACAACGCTAGGCCCCACATCTCATTGGTCACTCGTAATAAATTATTGAGACTTGGACCTTTTGCCACACTCTCCCTATTCACCAGATCTAGCACCAAGTGACTACCACTAATTCCGGTCTCTGCGGAACTCCATGAATGGAAAGAAATTCCAAAAGAAAGAGTACATCAAAAACCATTTGGATCAGTGTTTTAAAAATAAACTCCAGACATTCTATGAACATGGCATTATGCAGTTAGTGGAAAGATAGTAAAAAGTCATATTAAATAATGATCATTATATTGTAGATTAAAATAAATTTTATGTCTATAATACATTGATTTTTATTTTACAATGAAAAACCGAAAGGACTTATTTGCCAACCTAATATTTAAAGAAAAGAGAAATATGGGAAGGATGCATCCTCTAAGACGAATTTTCTAATGTGATATAAAAAGAAATTACTATCATAACCAGTACTAGCGAATTCTGCCATGGGGAGCTCTTTCCTTCCTGGACGGTGGACGAAAATTGCGAAATAATTCCAATAAGCAGCTATTTGAAGAAAAGAGAAATATAGGGAGAATTAATCTTAAATGAAGAATTTTCTAATGTGATATTAAAAACAATCATTATCACGACCATTTAAATTAATCTTACGGTTCGTCACATCACGTCACCTCACCAGGCTGTGGATCAACTTGTGTCCGACCTTTGGCGCAGGGCGAGATTTTTGAAACAAAGAATAGAATTTAAGACCAAAAGTTGGCACGCAGGGAGAAGTGGTGTAGTTTTGGGACCGCCGCACGGTGGGATGAGTAAAGGAAAACTATTTTTTCCTAAACTAAATTGGCTAAATCTATTTTTTTTTTTAAATTGAACTATTCAATAAAAACAGTGAAAACTGTTTATCCTGCTAACTGAAAATATTCTCACCAATTCAAGAAGGTATCAATAGAACAGTTTCTATATAGTTTCTAGTTTTTGGTGTTCCAAAAAGCCCTTGGTGACCCGTGTTAGCAATTTTGTTTTTTATTTGTCTAAATCCATAGCAGAATACAGGGTGTTCCGTAAATAGAGGGCATATTTAATGTATTAATAGCAGAACCCAAGAGCTACAAAAAAGTTTATATAAAAAATGGTTCGATTTTCAGCAGAAAAGTATCAACTTAAAGGTTTTTAGTTTTTTAAGCAAGTCACGTTTTTTGTTGAATAAGAAGTGTCAACTAAAAAAATATTGAATTTAAATAATTAACGATTGCTTCTTCTACAAGCTTTGACTTTAAATATCTGTATTATATTTATTTTCCAAGCTAGATTTTCAACTTTTTTTATCTTTTCCAAAAATGATCCTAAGAGAATAAGTGCGGTACTTGTGTAACGGTTAGTGCACTTGCTTAGTATAGTCAAAAAGGCCTCTGTTCAAGACTTGTATCCTCATAAATCTTATTAGGGGCGGGGTGGCCGAGCGGGTCAACGCGTGTGCATAGCACCGCGCGTTGCCTGTCAACCCGGATGGAAGATAATTTGATTAAAATAATAAAGATTTCGCGTCCCGGGGTCAAGGGGGGCTTTTAACTCTGCCAATAATCCCCTGCCCTCACTCCTCCTCCCCTTCTCACCGTATAGGCCCGGCAAACTTCTGTATAGCCTAAAAGGCGAGAAAGGGAATACAAAAAATAAATAAATGAAAAGGTCCTAAGAGAATCATGTTTAACTATTTATAATTAAGTATAACACATTAAAGACTAGATTTAAATCACATCAATTTTTATAAAATTGATAATTCAATTAAGTAGTACCTAATGCTACAGAGTAGAACTTAAAAGCAAGTAAACTGTTAAGGATCAATAAAAATCACAATGCATACTGAAATTGAAATATTAAAATAAAAATAGGCTAATAGCTTTAAGCTAATTATACACCTCTGATATCCCTGAGCACAAGCGGATCTGCGGGAGGAGAGACATTCGGGCTAAAGCCCCCCAAAATGATCAAACGTAACTGTTCTATGGTAAAAAATTATGTCTTAATTACATTTAATAGGACTTTAAGAATCACTTAAACACCATTTCTTATAGGTAGTTAGTATCTTTTTTTTCAGTTATTATCGTTATATATATATATATATATATATGAAAAAAAGACTTCCGGGCTGAAGCCCCTCCCCCCCAAAAAATTAAATGCTGAATCCGCTAGTGTCCCTGAGCATACTTGCACCACTATTTAAACTTTGCAGACAATACAGCATTTCCATCTTTCTATAAAAATCCAACTTTTGCGTTAATTGGCCATAAGAACCATATATGTGGCCTAAAAATTCGATCCACTCGTTCTATCAATTTCCTTCTCTCTTTTACCTACTTGCTGCAAATGAGTAAAACGCTTGAAATTATTACACAATGGTTTATTACTTCCAAAACCGAACAAATTACATTACCTTCCTAGTGACAAAAAAAAAAAATAAATAAAAGGTGTTTCCAATTATTGCCCTAAACATTTTCCTTTTCCTCATTAGTAATTTTCTAAAAAAAAAAAATAGCATTACTTCAGCAACACTTTTCAAAAATCAAAAACCAAAACAAAAGATAACTTTTGCAGTATAACAAATAAAAATATCTAGAGGCCATATCTTAGCTCCTAATTGTTAATTTTAACGATTTTTTTTTTGTTTTCAGAAAATTT